AGTTTCAGGAGGTCCCATTTATCAATTGTTGATCTCAGTGTCTGTGCTAGTGGTGTAATGTTCAGGAAGTGGTCTCCTGTACCAATTAATTCAAGGGTATTTCCCACTTTGTCTTCTAATAGGGTTAGTGTGGTGGGGTTTATGTTGAGGTCTTTGATCCATTTTGACTTAAGTTTTGTGCATGGCGATAGGTTTGGTCTATCTGCAGTCTTCTACATGTGAGCATCCAGTTATGCCAGCACCATTTGTTGAAGATGCTCTCTTTGTTCCAGCGTATATATTTGGATTGTTTGTCAAAAATCAGGTGTTCATAGGTATGTGGGTTAATATCATGTTTTTCAACTCTATTCCATTGGTCTCCCTGTCTATTTTTGTGCCAATACCAAGCTGTTTTCAGGACTATAGCTCTGTAATAGAGCTTGAAGTCAGGGATGGTGATGCCTCCAGAAGTTCCTTTATTGTACAGGTTTGTTTTGGCTATCCTGGGTTTTTTGTTTGTTTGTTTGTTTCTCTGTATGAAGTTGAGAATTGTTCTTTCAAGGTCTGTGAAGAATTGTGTTGGGATTTTGATGGGGATTGCTTTTGGCAAGACTGCGATTTTTACTATGTTGATCCTACCTATCCAAGAGCCTGTGAGATCTCTCCATTTTCTGGTATCTTCTATAATTTCTTTCTTTAGAGAGTTGAAATTCTTATGGTACAGGTCTTTCACTTTTTTGGTTAGTGTTACCCCAAGGTATTTTTATGTTATTTGTGGCAATTGTAAAGGGTGATGTTTCTCTGATTTCTTTCTCCACCAATGTATCATCGGTAGAGCTACAGATTTTTTTGAGTTAATCTTGTATCCTGCCACTTTGCTGAAGGTGTTTATCAGCTGTAGGAGTTCCCTGGGTAGATTTTTTTCGGGTCATTTATGTAGACTATCATATCATCTGCAAATAGTGAGAGTTTGAGTTCTTCCTTTCTGATTTCTATTCCCTTGATCTCCCTGTGTTGTCTTATTGCTCTAGCTAGAACTTCAAGGACAATATTGAAGAGTTATGGAGAGAGTGGACAGCCTTTTCTTGTCCCTGATTTTAGAGGAATTGCATTGAGTTTCTCTCCATTTAATATGATGTTGGCTGTCGGCTTGCTGTATATTGCTTTTATTATGTTGAGGTATGTTCCTATTATCCCTAATTTCTCTAAGACCTTCATCATGAAGGGGTGTTGGATTCTGTCAAAGGATTTTCGGCATCTTGTGAGATGATCATGTGGTTTTTTCCCCCTCAGTCTGTTTATAAGGTGGATTACATATATTACTCACTGGTTGATAAGGGGCACCAGATCTTACTTTAGATGGTTGTGAGCCACCTTGTGAATGCTAGGAATTGAACTCTCATGACCTCTGGAAGAGTAGCCTGTGCTCTTAACCTCTGAGCCATCTCTTCAGCCCCCGAGAAACCCTTCCTTGAAAAACAATAAAATAAAATGAAGGACTGAGAGGAAGCTCTGGCAGGGATTATGCCTAATATATGTGAGACCCTAACTTCAGTCCCCAGTGCTATGATTCACTTCGGAGTGGAAGCTGGCCTTGAATGTGCGGTAATCCTCCTGCCTTAGTCTACACAGCGCTGGGATTATAGGTGGAGCCACCATGCCTGGTGGTTCTGGAGAGATGGCTGATTCATTAAGAATAGTGGCTGCTCTCTTAAAGGACCTAGGCTTGATTCCAAATTCCAGGGGATCCAATGCCCTCTCCTGATGTCTATGGGCAGGCCATACATGCAAGTGAAACGCCCACATACATGAAATAAGAGAAATGATTGCTAAAGTAAAGAGAAGAGTAGAATTGCTTTATATTCCACAAACCCCGCTGAGGTTTAGCTGAAGGACTGGTAACCAGGGGCAACCATTACAGTGAATTTTCCCATCCATGCTTTTCCTTTATATTTAGCACTTTCTATATATCCATGGAGCTTCAAGTAGTATGCATTTTAATTTTAAAATTACATTTGTGTGCATACCTATACTTGCATCATAGCACATATGTGTAGGTAAGAGGAAAACTTGCCCGGGAGTCAGTCCCCTGCCTTCTACTGTGTGGGTCCTGAGTATGGAACTCGAGTTGGCAAGTTTGGTGGCAAGTACTTTTACTTTTGAAGACATCTTGCTAGCCCCCCAAGGAGTATGCTTTTAAATTTCAGTTGCTTTTAGGTTATAAAAAGGATTTCCCAATTTTCTACAGTGACTTGCTTCATCCCCTTAATTATATGGCCAGAATGATGTTGTGTATTCATGTCATCACCTCATCCATTTTCCTATGGTCATTCCCATTGCCCCGTATCTGCTGGAAGAGACTAGGGAACCATACCCTGCAGAGGTGGGCATCCTAGAATAGGAAGTGTAGCTTCACAGGGGTTCTCATTGCCTTCACATCCATTCTCTATCCAGAGGTGATCCTTCCATTCCTTCGTCTCGCCCTCCCCCTCCCTCCCTCTCTCCCTCCCTCCCTCCCTGCCTCCCCACTCCAGGCGTTGGGAAGCTGCGAGGCAATGCAGCCTACAAACCTACTATCTCACCTTCTTTGGTAAACACATCACACAAGGCTTTCAACCCTATGCTCCGCCCCTCCCCGCGACAGGCTCAGCCCCTCCTTCTACAAGCGCCTGTAACGTCATCTCCCTGCACCGGAAGTATGCCAGGTTGCGGGCGGGAGGCTCGCCGGCGGCGATGTAGGTTCCTTCACAGACCTGAGCGATGCGTTGGCTGCTCCCGCTGTCCCACACAGTAACTCTGTCCGTCGTACGCGTGAGGCGAGGCATTTGCGGGCTCGGGATGTTCTATGCGGTGAGGAGGGGCCGCAGGACCGGCGTCTTCCTGAGTTGGTGAGACGGAGCCCGGCGGAGCCCTTTATTCTAAATACCAAAGAGCTTTTTTAGTCTGTGTTGCAGTCAAGGTCTGCTAAGAGCACATAGAACCATTGCAGACCAGAACTGGCATGAGGGTCCCCGTGTTCTGATCGCCCCTGTGGGTGTTTTGTGTGTGAGACCCCCTGTACCAACTGGTTTTTCTGCCTTCATTTCCCAATTTAGGGATTGCAGACAGGCACCATTACCCTCTGTTTATGTAGTACCGGGGCTCGAACCCGGGGCTCGAACCCAGGGCTCAGCACATGCTAGACAAGCAGCAGAGCTATAGCCTCATTCCCTCCTGGTTTTAAAAAGGATAGTTATTACCAGGTGTGGTGGTACATGTTTGTAAACTCAGTACTGGTGAGTGTGAGGCAGGAGGATCACTACAAGTTAATGGTCAGCATGGCCTATGGAAGGAGAGACCTCAAAGAGAGGTGAGGAGGAAGGGGAAGAGAGAGATGGAGAGTCTTAAGCTAGAAGCTAGTCGTTGCCTTCGGATCCTTGTAGCAGTACCCGAAGGCAGTTGTTGTTTTCAGTTTCATGGGTAGGTTAAGTGGCAGAATCAGGGCTTGAACCCAGGTTTGGGCATATATGACAGTAAGCTCCTGATGTCAAGGTTCATTGTCCCTGTGCGTCTGTGTGTTTCCCTAGGCTCACTAGCAACACTACTGAGGAAGAAGTATTTCTGATACCAGCCCTTTTTCTGTGATTGATTTTTTTGTTTGTTCTGGTTTGATATATATATATATCTTTTTTTTTTTTTTTTGAGACAGGGTTTCTTTTTGTAGTCTTGGCTGTCCTGGATCTCTCTCTGTAGACCAGGCTGGCCTTGAACTCTACGGAGATCCACCTTTCTCTACCTCTCGAGTTCTGGGATTAAAGGTGTGCACCACCACTGCCCGGCTTGATTGATTCTTAAAGAAAACAAAATTTTAGTGTGCACTGGAGCTGTGGAAGACCTTATGGTATTAGATGTACAGCCTGGATAGCATTTACCAGAATGGTCAGGCCAGTATTAACACAGAAATGAAGCTAAATCATGAGGTATGTTATGCAGACCTAAAATGAGTTATTAAAGATGAAACAGTATGAAAGAACACTTACTATATCATGCTAAGAGGAAAAGACAATTTGAAATTATCTACAGTGTGTGATTCCAACTATATGACGTCCTGGAACAAACATGGAAATTGCAAAAACAAGCAGTGGTTTTTAGGGGTTAGAAACAAGGAAGGGATGATTATGAGAGCAGACAGGTTTTGTTTATTTGGAGACAGGCTGGCCTTCAACTGAACTAGCTATAAACCAAAGATGACTTTGAACTTCTGATATTTTGTCTCCACTTACCAAATGCTGGGATTACAGGAGTATACTCCCAAACCAAGGTGGTTTGGGAATAGGGTTTTTAGGTAGCACTGGCTGGCCTAGACCTGCATATAGATCAGGGTGGCATTGAACTTGTGATCCTCCCGCCTCTGCCTCTAGAGTGTGGGGTCATAGATGCCCCACCCCCAGCCTACAGGTGGAGCTTTTTTTTTCCCCCTCCCCAAGACAGGGTTTCTCTGTGGCTTTGGAGGCTATCCTGGAACTAGCTCTTGTAGACCAGGCTGGTCTTGAACTCACAGAGATCTGCCTGCCTCTGCCTCCCAAGTGCTGGGATTAAAAGTGAGTGCTACCACTGCCTGGCCAGGAGGGGCTTTCTAATACCCCTCCTGGATGGTGTGGTCATGTAAACCCCTGTCACAGTCATTATGCATTCACTAACCCTGTAGACTTTTGTTTTGTTTCGTTTTTCAAGACGGTTTCTCCATGTAACAGCCCTAGCTGTCAGACCTATAAACTTTACAATAGCATGAATGAGCCCGCTCTAGTGTAAGCAGTGGACCAGGAACATTTGGAGGCCAAGGCTTAAGAGGACTTTCTACTTTCTGTTCCTAGTTGATGTGAATCTAAAACTGGTGTAAAACACCAATAAGCCAGGTGGTGGTGGCACATGCCTTTGATTCCAGCACTCAGGAGGCAGAGGCCAGCGGGTCTCTGTCTACAGAGTGAGTTCCAGGAGAGCCAAGGCTACAAAGAGAAACCCTGTCTTGAAAAACCACCAATAAAAATAAAATAAATAAACAAATAAATATGTAAATTGGAGGGGAAATGAAGCCTGGGTTAATGTATGCACTCTTCCAGGAGTGAGTGCAAAGAACAGGTGGACCGATTTCCTGCTGCCAGGTTTAAGAAATTTGCTACAGAAGATGAAGCTTGGGCCTTTGTCAGGAACTCTCCAAGCCCAGATGGTTCAAAAGGTATGTAACATTAGTGTGAAGTTTTAACCTATGAAAAGCCCCTTACATCCCCAACATCATGATTATCTGTTTTTCCTTGTACGATTAGAGTTAAGAATTGTAGTTCAATGGCAGGTGTTGGTGGCGCACGCCTTTAATCCCAGCACTCGGGAGGCAGAGGCAGGCAGATCTCTGTGAGTTCGAGGCTAGCCTGGTCTCCAGAGCGAGTGCCAGGATAGGCTCCAAAGCTACACAGAGAAGCCCTGTCTCCAAAAACAAACAAACAAACAAACAAACAAACAAACAAAAAAGAATAGTAGTTAAGCCGGGTCATGGTGGCACATGATTTTAATCTCAGTCTTTGAGAGGCAGAGGCAACCAGATTTCCAAGTTCAAGGCCTATAGAATGAGTTCTGAGTTCTAGGGCAGCCAGGGCTAAAACAGAAAGCCTGTCTCAAAAACAAACAAACAAAAAACACCAAGTAAAAGTGGTTCAGAGGACCAGAGTTTGATTCTTAGCATCCATGTTGGGTGACACAATTTCCTGTAACTCAGGAGGGATGGATGCTTGAACATTAACACACACACACACCCAGGTGTATGGTGCCTAGGATCGGGAATTCAAGGCATGAAAGAACACAGCTATTTCCAGAGCTGGCCTACATGGCAGGACCCTGTAAGAGCAAACAAATATACAGAATGCTATCATTTCTAGGACTCTGTTCTCCAGTCGAATGATCATAATGTCATTAGGCCATAGTCCATAGAATCACACCACTTAAGTTTCTTTTTCTTTTTTTTTCTTCACAGCCGAAGCATTTTTTTTTTTTTTTTTTTTTTAAGATTTATGTATATAGTGTCCTGTCTGCATGTATGCCTGCAGGCCAGAAGAGGTGCCAGAACTCATTACAGATGGTTGTGAGCCACCATGCAGTTGCTGGGAATTGAACTCAGGACCTCTGGAAGAGAAGGTGGTGCTCTTAACCTCTGAGCCATCTCAACAGCCTACCACTTAAGTTTCTTTACATTTCATGTGTCACAAATGTCCTGGAAGCAAGAGGCCTACTATAAGGGACACCAGATCTAGAGCACACATACAGGACTCATGTCAGCAAGCTGACTAATTTAGAACACTGGACAAAAAACAAAACAAAACAAAACCCTAAAAACTATATCTGAACCTCCCTTGGGAAACGGGGTTTCAAGATCTTTATTTATTCATCTATTACTATTTATTTTCAGTGGGAGCCTTGGAATCTGGGATAGTTTGTTCTCAACCATTCTTTCTTAGTAGGTTTACATCTAGAGTGTCCCGCCCCAGTCTGGTGTGGTAATGGTAAAAACTCTTCCAGAATGCTGTCTGGTTTTGGACCATGGTTGGTCTCTTCTTTCAGGGCAGGAAACCACTCGTGTGCAGGAATCACAGGTGAAGATCAGCAAGCGGCCTCGGGAGCCTGTGGGTGAAGAGGAAGAGCTACCAGAGCCAGGGTCAAAGCACACCAGACAGAACACAGAGCCGGCTCCCCCAGTGAGCAAGGACAAGTTTTCTTATATGGGTATGCCTTTCTTGGGTTCAAAATTTTTAGTACAGTTATGAAAAAATGAATAACAATCAGCATGAAATCTTTTCCTTTCTAAGCAAGAAGGAATTTAAATTCTTTGTTTTGTTGTTGTTGGTCTTTTTGACACAGGGTCTCAGTGTGTAGCTCTGGTGGCCTCAAACTCAGAGATCCTCCTGCCACAGCCTCCCAGTGCTGGAATTAAGGGTGTAAGATGATTTTTAGCCCCATTTTTTTTTTTTTTTCTGTAAATATCTCTAGAAATTTCTGAGGTCTTTTACTTTGGAGGTAGGACATTAACAAAAAGTCCCTTTGGTTTCCTTCTTGGTAGTCCAGGGCTGTTATCAATGTGCTCCTACCCTTTTACGTTTTATTCTACAGCAGGGTCTCCCTGGGTTACCCAGGGTGGCATTGAACCCCTCCCATTGAAGCCCAGGCTAGCCTTCAACTTATTATCCCCTTTCTTTAGCCTCCTAGCAACCAGGCCTGGCAATGAGGCAACTTTTTTTTTTTTTTTTTTTTGAGACAGGGTTTCTTTGTGTAGCTTTGGAGCACTCCCTCTGTAGACCAGGCTGGCTTCGAACTCACAGAAATCCACCTGCCTCTGCCTCCCAAACACTGGGATTAAATGTGTGTGTGTGCCACCACTGTCCATCAAGGCCACTATTTTATAGCTTATCAAATAGTGCAAAATCATTAATCTTTTGGAAATTCTTAGGAAACCCTTACATAGCCAGAGGCTTCGGAGGCAGAGGAAGGAGGAGGGCTCACCCAGAGCTGTCTGTTAGAGGCCAGCATATGTAGACATTTGTCCAGCCCTCAGACCTCACTGTGTCCTGAGAAAAAGAGATCATGGGCTCTTCCTGTGTTTTGCTCCAGTTTGTGCTCTTAGTAACTATAGTATGTAAATGTCCTTTTTTGTCTTGCATACATGGGAACAGAAAGATGCAGCATTTAAAGATGAATCAGCATTGATATATCCTGAGTTTTGCCAAGAGGTAGCCATCTATACTTTACCTCCAGGGAAAGCACCAGAAGATGTTCAAGTCCATGGGTTTGGCAATTACCTAAGATGAACAAGTGTCCTTTACTGCTCAGTGTGCTGCATAGTTGTATGTCAACTTGACACAGACTAAAGACATCTAAGGGGACAGAAGCTCATTTAAGAAAATAATGTCTGGCGCCGGGCATTGGTGGCGCACGCCTTTAATCCCAGCACTTGGGAGGCAGAGGCAGGCGGATCTCTGTGAGTTCGAGGCCAGCCTGGTCTCCAGAGCGAGTGCCAGGATAGGCTCCAAAGCTACACAGAGAAGCCCTGTCTCCAAAAACAAAACAAAACAAAACAAAAAAAAAAGAAAGAAAATAAGAAAATAATGTCTCCATAAGATCAGGGTATAGGCATTTTCTTAGTGATTGATAGAGAAGGGCGTGATCCACAGTGGGTGGTGCCATCTCTGGGCTGGTGGTCCTGGTTTCTATAACAAAGCAGGCTGAGCAAGCCATGAGGAACAAGCAGTAAGCAGCACCCCTCCACGGCCCCTGCACCTACCTCCAGGTTCCTGCCCTGTTTGTGTTCCTGTCCTAACGTCCCTCAGTGATGGACTATAATGTGTGAGTATGAGCCAGATAAACCCTTTCCTCCAAGTTGCTGTTGGTCATGGTGTCTCATCACATCAATATAAACCCCAGCTCGGGCATTCATCATCAGGAACCTAAGGGATGAGCCATTTCCAGCATGCCAGTTGTCACTTGGCACAGAGTCTTTAGTGTCTTCAAGAAAAATAATCAAGTTCCAGCTGACAGAGGAGGCCTGCCCATCCTCTGCTCAGATGTTCCTAGCCTTGCTTCTTTGAGGGCCACTGGTCTCCATGCCTCCCCTGAGCCTGCTGTGCCCAGGCCACTGTCCTCTGGATCGTGTCTCCTGTGGAGGTGGTTTCTGACTCCCCCTCTTCCACGTCAGACACTTTGCCAGTCAGTTTCTCCCTACCCTTTGCTGAGGGTGCTGCTGACTGCACTTGGGCCTGACAGTGGCCCCAGGTCTGTCCTTCCCACTTGAGCAAACCATGTTTGAAAGGAAGCAGAAATGAGAACTACTTTACAATTAGTGGCAAATGTGCTAAGAGAAAACGAGACCACTTGCCAGCAAATTTGACTTTCTGACATGTGGGGCCAATATCACACCAAACATTGCTTTCTCTGGAAAGATGGCTTGAGAGTGAAGGTGCCCAGGCACAAGGGACCCTTTAGCTTGAGATATAAACAGGTCTTACAATGGGAAGTTCTGTCTTACCTTTAACTCACCTGGCACGTGGGACAAGTAAAAAGTGGCCACACCTCATAGGAAGAAATGCATGTCATTCTGGATGGAAAACTACAGCAGTGGATCAGTGTTTAGCAGGTTGGTGCAGTGGCCTCCCTCTTCCCTCTTGCAGGAGAATCAGTTGTTGTCTACACGGATGGCTGCTGCTCCAGTAACGGGCGCAGGCGGGCGAGAGCAGGAATTGGCGTTTACTGGGGGCCAGGCCATCCCTTGTAAGTAAACACAGTTGAGTGTGAACATCACATTTTTACCAGGTCTTGGCAGGATTTGCTTATTGATGTATTCTTGGCAAAGCCTGCCAGGTAAAGAGCTTTGGTGGGGATAGAAGACCAGCTTTGATTTATATCAGTGCCAGGCAGCTTGGTTCTTGACAGTGCCAAATACCGAGACTTGGTATTGTTTCCCTGGGCCTAATTCATACAAGTGTTAAGACATATGCGTAGAGGAGCCAGCCCACAGTGATGCAGGGACAGGATACTAGCTCCAAACCCATCTCATCACTAGACTTCTAGACTCGTTTTTTTTTTTTTTGGAGACAGGGTATCTTTATGTAGCTCTGGCTGTCCTGAATCTCAACTGTGAGACCAGGCTGGCCTGGCACTCATAGAGATCCTCCTGCCTCTCTCTCCCAAGTGCAGGGATTAAAGGTGTGTACTACACCTGGTGACTTTTAGACTTTTGAAGACTTGTAACCTAGAGACAGTCAGAAAGCACAGCCAAAGGGGTGAAACTGGACCATTCACATATACCCCGTCCCTGCGGTGAAGGGTATGGAATAGTGGCTGTCAGCCACCCCTGAGATGTTTGTAGACCAGGTCTGAAGTTCATGGGAAACTGCTGTCAGACAGTTTGTAAATGATCATTGATTCACCCCCACCCCCACCCCCAAGACAAGGTTTCTCTTGGCTTTGGGGACTGTCCTGGAACAAGCTCTTGTAGACCAGGCTGGTCTCGAACTCACAGAGATCCACCTGCCTCTGCCTCCCGAGTGCTGGGATTAAAGGTGTGCGTCACCACTGCCCGGTGCATAACGAACTTTTTATATCTTCAACCTTGGATCTTTTTGTTTTGTTTCTGTTTGTTGAGATAGATTCTCTCTGTTGCCCTGGTTGTCCTGGAGCTTTCTGTGTAGACCAACCTGGCCTTGAACTCACAGAGATCCACCTGCCTCTGCCTCCTGAGTGCTGGGATTAAAGGTGTGCACCACCACTGCCTGGCTTGGAACAGGGTCTTGTGGGAGCTTGGCATAGAGCTGTGTCCCAGCCTTGGTTTGTTTTTCGAGGCTGTTGTTTGTATGTAGGTTTTATGTTTCAGTTAGAAATGAACACTAGTTTGTTATTAATCTGCTGAGAAGAATCACTTTGGGAATTAGCATTGTAATTTTGTTTTTTCTTTATTGTGCTGTTTTGAAACAGAAATGTAGGTTTTAGACTTCCTGGGCGACAGACAAACCAGAGGGCGGAGATCCATGTAAGTTCCCAGATAATAGTGAGTGTGCCTTTTTTCCATGTGACCACATCAGTCTTGTTCCCTTTCTTTGTTGTCTTGCATAGAAGGTATTGAAAGCCCACAAGAAACTTTCAGGCTAACAATAGTCTTCAAAGACTCTAGAAAAAGTTCTAGAATCATTTCATGTAGGTTTCATGGGGGGAATTGTTGGTTTAGCCTCTGCACATAGAGAAGACAGCATGGTGGAACAGAAAGAAGAGTGCTTCAGGCTTAAAGCACTCAGTCAGTAATGCATATAGCATGACCTTGGACTTATTTTTCCAAGGCAGCCTGCAAAGCCATCATGCAAGCCAAGGCTCAGAACATCAGCAAGCTGGTTCTTTACACAGACAGCATGTTCACCATCAATGGTAAGCTTTCCCGGGCACAGAGAAGGGGAACAGGCCTTTCTTCCTAGTAGGAGGTAGTGTAACAGTCCCTGGTGACACTGGGCTTTTCAGGTTCAGAGAAATAGGAGTCTAGGTCTCCTGTCTTGTGGGGGTTGGGACTCCTTGGCCCCATAACACCTGAGGTCAGGATGTTAGTAACCTCAGTCACAGTGTGCTGGCTCCAGGGCTGGGGGATGCTGAGCTCTTGTTCTTCTGATTGGATGCAGGGAGAGGAAAGTTTGGGGCCTTGGGACTGTGCTGAAGGCTTAAGCAGGGGAGAGCACCTGAGGAAGGGAACCATCCAGGCTTTGACTCGGAACAAGAGGAGCCATTTCAAGGAGAGACTAGGGGCCAGGAGAGGCCAGGCCCTCCTGATGGGTGAGCCTGTGAGCATGTGTCCCCTAGGGATAACCAGCTGGGTTCAGGGCTGGAAGAAGAATGGCTGGAGAACGAGTACAGGGAAAGACGTGATCAACAAGGAGGACTTCATGGAGCTGGACGAGCTCACTCGGGGTATGGACATCAAGTGGGTGAGTCACGCTTCACATTGCACGGTCTGAATTTACTGAGAGGATGGAGTTGGGAAGCGGTGTAAAGTGACTAGGTTAAAATAGCAGCTTCCATAAAGTTAATTTATTTGTTAGTGTGTTAATTAGACACAAGAATAGGTTTCATTGTGACATCCTACATGTACATCATGTTTTGGGCATACCTGTCTCCTTCCTCTTTCCTCCTTCCATGTTTTTTTTTTTGTTTTTGTTTTGTTTTCTGTGTTTAATTGGTTTGTTTAGTTGGTTATTTACAGGAATACAAATGAATGGTTGTTTACAGCAGTATGGGTACCTTAGCAGTGTCTGCAGCACTGAAGAAAGTCTATCCTCCCTCATAAACCATTAATCACCTGTAGAAGCCCAGGGAGTAGAGGGACCTCATGCACCCCTTCCCCATCTGGGGAAGAGTGTTGACAGGTCCAGTCCTGGGCAGGCCCTGTGCTGCTAGTCACAGCTTCAATGAGCTCATGAGTGCAGTAGCATGCCTTGCCTGGAAGGTGACATTCTATGACACTTCACTCCTTTCTCCCTGTTACATTCTTCCCTCTTCTCCCATGATGTACCCTGCCTGAGCCTTGGAGTGGGTGACATAGATCAGTAGTAGCTCTCATACTAGGGCCTGTGACTACCCAGTACATGCTTTGATAGGTTTACAGTACCAGATGTAGGGTAGGCTGTAACTTCAGTCAGAAGTCAGGTGGTTACCCCCCAAACAGACTTGTCACTATTACTCTAGTGTGCACATCTTACCTGTTGGGTTGGTGTTATGGCATGTTCACAGCAGAGTAAGACTTCTTCCCCACCAGCCTACATAGCGCCTTCCCAAGTTAGAGAGCTAACAGCAGGATGGCAGCTTCCAAATCAGTTTCTGGTTGGTTTCTGTATGTCCTGCAGCCAAGGTGTGTGTTGTCTTCAGCAGTAGGGTCTTAGCATATAGCTCTGGTGGCCAACCAAGAGCAGTGGAACAGCCTTTATTGTTCTGGGGGTTTCGGTGAACTTCTTAACCAAATAATCTATATATTCTTGTCATCTTGAGTAGTGTGGTTGGTTGGAGGCAGGCTGTAGTTCAAGTTGGTCTGAAATGTGCTATGTAGCAAGGGTGATCTTGATTGAGTTTTGGTGCTGCCAGTTTTGGGACTGCAAACACATGTCACCTCAGTTTGTGTGGCACTGAGAATTGAAATACTGTACTATCGGAACCATGGCTCCTGCCCTAGTGTCTTACCCTGTTCAGAGGATGGGGCTGTGAATATGAGCTTTGATTGCCAGTCTCTTCTGGATGTGAGGTCTTGCCATGCACAGTTCACATAAATATCAGAAAAAATTCAAGGGGGGTTTTATTTTAACAGATGCACATTCCTGGTCACTCTGGATTTGTGGGCAACGAAGAGGCTGACAGGCTGGCAAGGGAAGGCGCGAAGCAGTCTGCAGACTGAGCAAAGCAGTTGCTGTACACTCAGACCCAAGGCAGTGGCTGTTCCTTTACCCAGATGTGCAGTGAGGCCACAGCACGGAGGACTCGACTGGGACCTGTGATACAGCTTGATGAGAAGTGCTTAAATAATGGAAAGGGAAAATTGAACACTTCTGTGAAATTTCAGTTTTTGTGCCTTTTGGGTCTGATTTTCTTGCTTGATTTGTTACATTCTGGCCCAAAATGCTCCAGTAAGCCGGGCGGTGGTGGGGCACAAAAACAAAACAAAACAAAAACAAAATGCTCCAAATTGGTTTCAGTAGGAACTGTTCAGTATGCATGGTCTGAAGGTTCCAGAATGTCCATTTTCCTTTCAGTATGCACAAGTACAAACCTCCTGCCCCTGCTGGCATCCTGTGCCCCTGTGTACATCAGAGATGATATGGCCACGTGGGACCCAAGGCTGGGCTTGCTGCAGGCAGAGCCTGCATCCATATGACCTTGGCTCCGGAGCCACCTTGTAGGAACAGCTGAGAAATTTAAAAATCAAGATTCATGAATATATTGCTAATAGATTTCTTTGGCTATTTTTATTATTTATTTTTGTAATAAAAATATACAGGAATGACAAAATACATTTAGTTCATTCAGTTACTGTTAAAGGTGAGTGTCCCTTACTATCTAAGACTAGAAATTGAGAAAATCACTCTAGAGAAATGGGCTGGTTAAATTGTTCTCAGGCAAACAAACCCTCACATCCCTTAAGCAATGGAACATTGTGCAGCCTTACTCTAGAGAATATAAGAATGACGGGGTCACTAAAACAGAGTTGTCACTGGAGCTGACTCTTGAGTTTCTTAACACTGTGAGAAGCTGGGCCATCTGGAGTCACCCCTGAGAACCAGTGCCAGCTGAAGTTCACATGCTCTCCTGCTTGCTCTGCAGGTTGTTGCTGTGACAACTGCGCATGTGAAGACAGTATGTTTTGGATGTCACTGCAGGCCTCTGAAAGCACAAGTGTGTCTTGGGAAGGGCGGGGTGGTTGGCCTGAGTGAAGTCAGGATGATTGGTACCCACCTCTGCTGGCTTGGTGAGTGATCTGTGTAGGAAGGCCAGCTCAGAGTCCTGCATGAGGCTGGGAGAGGATAATAGTTTACACTTGATAAGACCTGACCTGAGCTCAGGACCCCAGCACTAGCACCGTCACTAGGTGGGCATGGCCAAAGAACACTCGGACCCCCAGTACTGTGATGGGTGAAGACTGCAGGACATCCAGACTGGTGAAAGTCTGAGGTCCAGGTCCAGTGGTGAGAGAGTCTCAAGGGAACTGGGCAGAGAGTGACAGAGCAGGACACCCAGTGTCATGTGTCTTCTGCCACACCTGTGCACATGTGTGGCAGAGTCCTACATTAGAACCAGGTGTGGTGGCACACACCTGTAATTTCAGGGTTTGAGAAGCAGAGGCAGGAGGGTCAGGAGTTCAAGGTCGGCTTAGCTGTGTAGCAAGTTTGAGGCTAGCTTGAAACAGAATCTCTTAACATTGTTTTTTGTGTGTTTGTTTACTGAGGACTGAATATAGAGTCTCTGACACAGTGGGCAAGCTCTGCTACTAAACTAAATCTCAGCTCACTGTGTGTAGGCTGGAGAGTATGCCAACTGTCCTTATTCTCCACCTCTAAAATTTTTTTGTTAGCATATATTATTTGTAATAGGTTTTATTAAGTTTTCATATACCAGCATGATGTATTTTGACCACTTTAGCCACCCATAACCTCGTCTGGTCTGGTCCCTTTTCTGAACCAGTCCCTCCCCCTTCCACTGACTGACAACCTTTGAATGGTGTTTTACAGTGAGCAAAGGCCTCAATGTTGGCTTGATATGAAGACTGGCTAGAGGACAGAATCCAGCTGTCCTGATGTGTTTTACAGAAACCCTAGGATAATACACCACTAAGGATAGCCCATGAGAAGTCCTATGATGCTGTTGCAAATTTGACTGTATTTCAAGCGTGTGAGATTCATAATAAAATTGCTTTTGGAAATAGATGCATTGTTCAGTTGGTCAGTCAGCATACCTGTGTTTCATGGAATGGGTGCATATTACAGTTGGAGCATGTCCTCAAGCCACCTTCCTTCTCACTTACATGTTGTGTATGTGTGTGCTGATGCTCTCCAAGGCCAGGAGCAGGGTATTGGATCTGCAGGAGCTGTACTTGGAAACCACCCAATGTGAGCACTGGCAACTGACCCCGGACCTTCTTTCTGTAAGAGCAGCACTCTCAAGCTGTCAATCCTTCTCTCCAGCCCCACATCTTGTTTTGTTTGAAACAGTATCACTCACTGGATCTGGGGCTCACTAATTCTGCTAGACTGACCAGCAAGACAAGCCCCAGTAATTCATGTGTCCCCACCTCCCCAGTGCCAGGATTATAGGTGCATACGGCTGTTCCTTTAAACATTTTACATTTATGTGTATACGTGTGTGTGTGTGTGTGTGTGTGTGTGTGTGTGTGTGTGTGTGTGTGTGTGTGTACATGTTTCTCTGTGTGTTCTCATGTCTGTGTGCAGGTGTATATGGAAGTATGTGGTGGGTATTTTCTTCAGTTGCACTCCACTTATTTTGAGATAGGGTGCTACTCTGTGGCAGCCCTGGCTGGCCTTGAGCTCTATGGATTTGAACGAGCTAGGATCAAAGTGCCTCCACACCTAACCACCTTGTTTTTGGTGCCTCACTGAACCTGAGTCCATCATTTTAGCTTCAAGGACTGCATAGGCTACTAAGAGTTCAAGACTGGCCCAAGCAACTTAGCAAGACTCTGCCACAAAATGTCAGAGGGGGCTGGGGACCTAGGTTGGTTGGTAAAGTGCTTGCTACACAAGCAGGAGAGTCCCAGTTTGGATTTCTAGACCCACATGTAAAGTCAGACACAGGCTGAAGAAATGACTCAGCCAGTAAAGTGCTTACCACATGAGTGTGAAGACCTGAGTTTAGATCCTTACCTGGGCAAAAGCTGGACATGGCCGCATGTCCCCATAAAGCCAGCAGTGGGGAAAAGGAGATAGGCAGATTACTAGGGCTTGTTGGGCAGGTATGCCGGGTGCCAGAGGCGGCCAGAAGCCATGGTGCCCCTGCAACTAGAGTTACAGGTGAGCTGCCTGATTGCCTGATGTGGGTGCTGGGAACCAAACCTTGGTCCTCTGCAAGAGCAGCAAGTGTTCTTAACTGCCGAGCCATCCCTCCATACCTGCATTGGTGGCTTTTTTTAAAGAGGGAGACCTGAGCTGACATGTGCCCACCCCTGATGAGATGCACCTGCCCCTTACCTGTCAGGTAAGGTGGCCTATCCATATTGGACCTCCCAACCTCCTTAACTGTGAGAAATAAAATTCCGTTTTTTAAATGAATCATTTCATCTACTCTGGGCCTGGCGGCACAAGCCTGAGGCAGGAGGATGCCAAATTCACGGCCAGCCTGAGCTACTTAGAGTCTTGTCTCGAACATTAAACAGAGGGCAAAGGATAGAGCTCAGCTGTGGAGTTCTTGCCTGATGCACGTGGTCCTTGCTCAATCCCTGGGACTATTATAGAAAGATAACCCTACTGGTGGCTGTCTGTCACAGCTGCACAAAATGGACTGACAAGGTGGGGGTGCTGGGGAACTGCACTCAGGGTTTTATACATGCTCGGAGAGCACACAGCCATCCAGTGGACCTGGTTCTTTATGTAATCAACAGCAAGAGTGTTGTTCAGAAAAGCCACTGCCTCTTGAAAGCCAGTATCAGAACTGCCTGTGGTACTCTTAGTACTCCCCTCCCTCGCTGATTGTCTTGCACTTCCCAGGCAAGCAGCCCCATCGCCTGCTGAGGACACTCATTCCACTCCTTCCTGTACTCGAGTCTCTCCCCACCGTCTTGTCTGATGGCTAATTGCCAGCCTCCTCGCACTTCCCACTCAGGTGGAAACGGCTGGAGTATATCCGAGAGAGCATGCCGTGGGTGAAGCGGGTCTCTCAACCTTCAACGGTTAGGTGATTATCTCTCGGCAACCCCAGCATTCAAAAGTACTTTGCCGAGCTAATGTATGCTCCATGGCTTCTGCAGGCTGCACTGTCCACATGCCACCTGGACACCTGCTCCCCAGCAGGCTTTCCTTGCCAGTGCCTTGTCTATTCACCCTCTACCTGGATGTGGCTGGAGTCCCAATGTATACAGGAGGAATCTCTGTGCTGTGTTATCAGGCCTAAAGGAAAATCCATTTCCCCAAATCTCAAAAGGCAAAAGGGACAAGTGGCTACCTGCGGTGCCTATTAGCATACCAAAGAGCATGCTGGCCTCCAGTCTCCCTCAGTACCTCATTCTTCTCACCTCAGCCAATCCTAAATTTCTCCAGCTCACAGGCTTCCCTTTCCCCAGCTGTTCAATTCTCCTTCTAACCTTGCTCTTTTGACTTTGTACTCTCCATCTGTCTGTCTCTCTCTGTCTCCCCCCTTCCTCTCTCTCTGCTCTCCCCAGCTCTCCCTCTCTCTATGTTGCTCTCTGTACTCTGCTCCTGCTTCTCTCATGGTCTGTCTGGTCCGAGTCTGCTGGACATGCTCAGTCTACCATTACTTTCCCCCTCTGCTCTAGACTCTTGCAGCTGTGTAGTTGGCATTTTCTGTGGGCTGCCAATCAGCTCCCCAGTAAAGACACAGAGACTTATTATGAATGCCTAGGCTTAGCTTAGGCTTGTCCAGCTAGCTCTTTTAATTAAATCTAACCTGTTTCTATTCATCTCCTTTTTTGTTTTTGTTTTTGTTTTTTGAGACAGGATTTCTCTGTGCAGCTTTGGAGCCTGTCCTGGCACTGGCTCTGTAGACCAGGCTGGCATCGAACTCACAGAAATCCACCCGCTTCTGCCTCCTGAGTGCTAGGATTAAAGGTGTGTGCCACCGCCACCCGGCTTCATCTACATTTTTGCTCATAGTTTTTTACCTTTCTTTCATTCAGTATGTCCTACTTTCCTCCTTCCTTCATATCTGGCTGGCTCTTTCTTTTTCTTTCCCAAGACTAAATTCCTCCTCCTTACTTTCCCTGCCTGTAAGTCCCACCTATACCTCCTCCCTCTCTATTTATTCATTCAGCTTCTTATTAGATCAATCTAGTGCTTTAGGCAGTCAAGGTAAAACTGCAACACATTTTTGCATGGTTAAACAAATGCAACACATTTTTGCATGGTTAAACAAATGCAACACATATTTGTATGGTTAAACAAATTTTGTGCAACATGGGTGCCTCTCGTTGTTCTCTCTCTCATATCTACAACATACACCATCCACTTAACCATACCATGGAACAATCATGCCAGTTTATACAGTGTCAACTTACAGGGTGCTCAGGGCCTCTCCAGATGAGGAAAATGGTAAGCTACAGTCCCAGGAGTCTTCATCTTCAGCATTAGACCACAGGTCCTTTCCTTGATGTCGTATTCCTGTGAAGCAGATGTTCTGGGATGGCTTGATACAAGTTCATCATGGAACAAGACATGAAGGTAGGGAAGGTTACTCTGACTCCAAGCTCAAGAAAATTTTCAGGGGAGACCTGTCAGGTGGATCAGTAGGTAAAGTCACTTGCTGCCAAGCCTGATGACCCATGTTCATCCTAGAACCCACGTGGTGGAAGGAAAGAACATATTTCTGAAAACTGTTCTCTGACCACATACATGTAGACACACACTACAGACAGACAGACAGACATGCATACACAGAGAAACAAACACATAAACTAAATGATTTTTTAAAAAATTACACTGGGTTTGAGTTGTATACATTCCACTTGGGAACTGTACTGGCTGGTTTTGTGTGTCAACTTGAAACAAGCTAGTCAAAAGGAGGAGGAGCCTCAGTTGAGGAAATGCCTCCCTGAGATCCATCCAGCTGTAGGGCATTTTCTCACTGAGTGAGCAATGGGAGAGGGTCTAGCCCATGGTGGGTAGTGCCATCTCTGGGCTGCTGGTCCTCCATAAGTCATAGAAAACAAATCAGTAAGCAGCTCCCCTCCATGGCCTCTGCATCAGCTTCTGCCTCCAGGATCTTGCCCTGTTTTAGTTCCTGTCCTGACTTCTTTCTGTGATAAACAATGCAATGCTGAAGTGTAGGACAAATAAGCCCATTCCTCTCCAACTTGCCTTTTGGTCATGGTGTTTCATCGCAGCAACTGAACCCCTAGAACAAGAATGAAAAATATTTTTCATCTTCATATGTATATTATTTTTCTCCAGTGGCTACCAAGGTGTTGGGGGTGTTGTACTGTTTACTTTTGTTCTTTACAAAAGCTACATAAAGAAGTACTTATTTTGGCTCATGGTTTGAGGTTCTGTCTATTACAGCAGGGAAGCCATGGTAGCAGGAGTATAAGGCCACTGGTAACCTTCTCTATGCAGTCAGGATACACAGAGAGATGAATGCTGGCACTCAGCTTGCTTTCTCACTCCAGGCTCTTAACCCAATCCAGACACTCCTTGACAAACACAACCAGAGGTGTATCACAGATGGCGTCCATGTTATTTGGTCCTTGCATGTCTGGTCAACAGCAGCTGGATAGCAGGTGGCTCAGTCTGGGATGAAGAGGGCCTCGGATGCCCTGGTGGGTCTTTCTTCCTGATCGATCTCCATAGTCACTCCTGGCTTGCCTCTCTAATGTGAGTCCTTTGGGGCAGTTTTAAACAAGCCGTGTCTGCTGTAGGTTGAATCTACTCCTCTAGGATTTAGAAACCTCCTGTCACATCTGTAGCCCCACGACGGGCTGTCAGGGTGATGCTGATGAGGACCTTGGAGGCTGAGAGCTCTCTGGAGAACTGTGTGACAGGAAGGAAATGTCAGAGCAGGCACCCTTCATCAGCTTGAGGGCTCTTGTTTACATTCCAGCCCCTGCAATCAGCATCATCTCACTAGAACAGTGAGGAGCCTGTGCACTTGCTGCTCAGTGCTCCCCATGGCCTCCGAGAGGGCACACACCTGATGGGATTTTATAACCGGCTGGAATTCAGGATGCTGAAACAGGAGTAACTAG